CCCCACGAGGGAGTCCGTATACACTTGCAATTAATTTCCACGCTTTTGCATAAAATCTTTTAGTCCATGAATTTTTATTCTTCGAACTCTGTAGGACAAGAACGCGGAAACTCCAGCTTGCCATTTGGGGTATCACAATTATACCAACAATGGAAGAGACTTCCTTCGAGAACCTGAAATGCTGACTATTCACCCCGTTTTTGTGGGTGGGGAAGTAGGGAGGCCACTGTGGTCATTTGTTTTATTCACATCTATCATCTTGGGCCAAATAACAACCTAAACACAATAGGTGACAAAACTTAGCTGCTAAAGGTGGCATTGTTACAGAGCATTGTTGGGAAGCAGAACTGACGTAAGTCACCAAGTTCTGAAATCCCGGGCCTGTGGGAAGCCACAGGAGGGACTGGCTATGAATGGTCCTCACTAGGGAGGGAGATCCAAGATGAGATACAATCAGGGGCCTCACCTGCCTCTGCCAGCCGGCACGGTCAGCATTAGAGGCCAGTGGTCAGTCACCTTCCCACAAGCCACGTATGGCGCCAACCTGGGGACAGAGGAGGAGCAGTGGCCTCAAAGAAGCCTCCAGTATTTGGTGAAACTGTTCAAAGAATTTTCCCCGCTTCTGTTAGTCTCTATTTTCGACTAATACCTACTTTTTTTTTTGTAGAAATAAGTACTATTTATTTTGGCTTGATGTTTCTGAATCTTTTTAACCGATTATCCCTCTCAGACAGATATTAACATGCACCACCTTCCTTAATGTTACTTAGAACATCAAAATAAAAGAGATATTGTATATTTATCTCTATGTTCATATAATGTGCGACTACAAACGCCCCTAAATATAAAATCTATTCTTTTACTTATAGACCCTCATGGTTTCTAGAAGAATGAGGTTATAAAATATTAGCTCAATCTATACTAGTGACTGAGAAAGGTGTGTGTGTGTGAGAGAGAGACAGAGTGAGAGAGAGAGGGGGGGGAGGGAGAGAAACTTCAGAAATGTCATCAGTGAGGCAAATTTGAGGCTTTAGGCGCTGAGCTTGGGAAAGTTTTAGTTATTAAAAGTAAGAGAGAAAGCTGAAATGACTGGATCTTATTTAAATACTGAGTTTTCCTGCAAGACCTCAAGAACACCCAGAAAGAGGAAAGCTAGAGAGCCGCTGGCTATTGTGAGGAAAGAATGTAGGAGTGGCTGGGAAATTACAAACCTGCCCTTCTCCGAAAGGCCTTGAAAGGCCTGCGGAGGAACGTCCAAGATCAGGCCCAGGAGATCAGGAAATCTGTTGCGTGTTAGACATTTCAAAAGACCCAAGTTTACCTTGAAACAATGACCCTCAAAGACCCAATACTGAGAGGGTCAGGAAAGAAAAAGAGTTGGCGATGGCCTTCCAGGCCATTAAAACGAGAGTACACTGTGTAATTTCCCAAGCAATGTAATGGCTAAGTCAGGCACTGTTTCCATGACAATGGAGAAATTTTTTCTGAAGTCCCTGATGAAGCAAAGGAAAAATAAGAGCATGTCTCTTTAATTAGTATAAACGTAAGCATCATCCAAACGGGAACACTTTGAGAGTAAAAGGGGACAGTATTAATGATGACTACGGGCCGGACGCCGGGCCACCCCACCAAGCACCATGAAAACCAAAGAATAATGAGCATCTCGCTGCAAAGTCTAGGGGGGTCTCTGGCAGTTTGGGAGCCAAAAAGAACAATCTGGGAAAAATTCAAGTGTGAAGAGGAAGCTGAGGGGTGGGATGGATTGGAGAATAAGAGAGAGTTTTTTTTAAAAAATATTTTATTGATTTTTTACAGAGAGGAAGGGAGAGAGATAGAGAGTCAGAAACACCGATGAGAGAGAAACATCGACCAGCTGCCTCCTGCATACCCCCAACCAGGGACGTGCCCGCAACCAAGGCACATGCCCCTGCCAGGAATCGAACCCGGGACCCTTCAGTCTGCAGGCCGACGCGCCATCCACTGAGCCAAACCGGTCAGGGCGAGAGAGAGTTTTAAAGCCAAACATTCATAACACAGCACACCAGGTCCTCCATAGGTGGGTTCTACCAGTGATGGCGAACCTATGACACGTGTGTCAGAGGTGACACGTGAACTCATTTTTTTGGTTGATTTCTCTTTGTTAAATGGCATTTAAATATATAAAATAAATATCAAAAATATGTCTTTGTTTTACTATGGTTGCAAATATCAAACAATTTCTATATGTGACACGGCACCAGAGTTAAGTTAGGGTTTTTCAAAATGCTGACACGCCGAGCTCAAAAGGTTCGCCATCACTGCTCTAGATCATCTCTCCGGTTCACTTTATATCATTCCTACCCTTGAAATCTACCTTCTAACCATGGTGGATGTCGGCTTGTTGCCTGCAGCCCATCTGGGTCCCCTCTCTGATGTTCTTTATGCAACCGGTTTCCTCCGCCCAGAACACCCTCAGCCTCCCAGGTTTTGTCTGCTTCACTCCTCTCTGTCCCCCGCCCCCTCCCCCCCACTTCTCCAGGGAACCCTGAGCTTGACTTCTTTATCAGACTCCTACGTCACCAACACTTCTCTCAAGGTCCTTCCCATTTATATCTTACTTGTTTAATACCCGGCTTTGCCTGATTCAATGCTCTTTTCTCAATTAGGCCTGGCATATAGTCAGTTCTCAACAAATACAGGGGTGGGCAAAAGTAGGTTTACAGCTGTTCATGTGGAAAATAATGCAATAATTAATAATACAATAAATTGTTTTGAATATTCACAACTGTCAACCTACTTTTGCCCACCCCCGAATTTATTGGATTGAACGCATTACACAGGAAAATGTAACAATTAAGTCTCCAAGAAAAATGTCAGGTCATGAATTGGCTAGTTAAAAGCGGGGGGAAAAAATAATAATAAATAAGAGTGAGGCTCCTTACTAAGTATTTTTCCGAATGGGACTTTCATTTCAAGTAGAGTTGCTGCTAGTAACCCGGAGCCATCAATGGCCAGAAGAGGCCCAGAGACCCTGTGGAGGAGGCCTGACTCGAGGTGACATTGGCCTCTGGTGGATAAAACTGAGAATACAGCAGTTCCAAGTAAAAGGAAAAGCTGCCATGGCACTAGCAATGATGGAAAAACCCAAGGTTTCTTCTGTTTTTCACTTTTCTCCCACGAGGGCTGTAAGCCCATGGCCAAATATTTACCTCAATTACATATCAGCATTCAGGACACTGGGTCTAGAAACACTTACTCACATCAGAGTTCCATGAGAGCCGGAGAGTGAGCTATGATACTGAGCCCCAATAGGAGTTGGTTTTACTACCGTGATTCCTTTTCTCCTAAGTAATCTTTCCCAGCCTCCCGGTATTTTTCTTGGAAATGAAGACCACCAGACACTCCGGAGACGGAGGTGCACTTTAAACCACCTGCTACTCGAAGGGCAACTATTATCTGTGACAGGAGAGAGACACTGGGACCAAAGAAGGGATGGGTTAGAGTGAGGAAAGGGTATAGGGTTGAGGTGCAAATATATGAACTATTTTTGCCTTATAAACAAGTCAGATGATGCTGTGTAATATTATTTGCTTTTCTGCTGCCATTAGCACACGACCCGACGTCAGGAGATCCTGGAATGTGCATGGTGTGTACCTGTAATTCTGGGGTGGGGAAGGGGGAGGTCTCTAGCTGCTCTCACTTCACCTAATGGCTTGTCATCATTTTTAATCTCTAGGCTTTCAGGACATGGCCGCACACTCACCTTATTCAAGTCCTTAGACCAGTGGTTTTCAACCTTCTGGCCCTTTAAATACAGTTCCTCATGTTGTGACCCAACCATAAAATTATTTTCGTTGCTACTTCATAACTGTAATGTTGCTACTGTTATGAATCGTCATGTAAATATCTGATATGCAGGATGGTCTTAGGCGACCCCTGTGAAAGGGTGGTTCGACCGCCAAAGGGGTCGCGACCCACAGGTTGAGAACCGCTGCCTTAGACTATGCTTACGTATCTGTTACTCTTTGTTCTTCATGCAGGTTGCTGCTCGCTCAGGAGAGGAAATCTTTGAAACCCAAATCATTGCCTCCATAGAAAGGGACCTCAGAGAGGGAAGGGGGTGCCCAACGGGAGCGGGGCCCCCTTCTATGTGCCTGGGAGCAGCTGCACTCGCTCCCTGAGTGTGTTCTAGGAGTGAGGCTGATGGGAAGGAGGCTGACTCTGATGATCAGACACATTCAAATTTACATGTACAAACAAATCCATGTTCCCAAGCAAAACAAACGATCCTTGGACATTGGCCCGTGCTTTTGTGAAGCAGTGAGAACCGCACTGCCACACATCACGTAAACTAGCTGTTCTCAGATCACATTTGTGAAAAGGGGGTCATTCTGAGCTCTTCACTAAAAGCTCTGTTTCCCCAAACACCTGGACCCCAGGCACATGTATATAACAGATGGCGACCACACTCATTTCAATTAAGTGGAAGTGTACCAGCTGGCATCAATATGAGCCTGCCCGAGAGAAGCAATAACGCATACATTTATTTAATAAGCCCATTGCCTCATGCACCATCACTCGCTTTCATCTTCTTTTTCATTTTGGCCGGCACGCGATGCCAGGAACTCTGTCTTGCTGCCAACTTCTACTGAGAATGGAAACCCTATTATAAAAGGGAGACGTCCCTGTGGAACCAGCAACAAGTAGACATGCCCTGTCCGGTAATCTTTAAGAAGCAAGAGTTTAAGCCCAGCCCGTGTGGCTGGGTGGTTTAGCCTTGACCCAGGAGCCAGTAGGTCATGCTTTGATTCCTGGTCAGGGCTCCATCCCCAGGAGGGGGCGTGCAGGAGGCAGCAGATCGATGGTTCTTTCTCATCACTGATGTTTCTACTCTCACTCCCTCTCCCTTCCTCTCTGAAATCAATAAAAATACAATAAGAACAAATAAAAAGAAGCAAGAGTTTGGCCTCAGTGACCTCCCGGTCCCCCCTCGTCGCCCCGGACCCTTCGGCCATACCTACCATTTCCTTGAACGCGCTCTCCAGGGCCCCGATGACCAGACACTCGTGGGGAATCTTCTTCTCGGTGAAGAAGCGCGTGGGCGGGGTGCCGGGGGAGCCGGGGCCCCCCAC